AATTTATGGTCCAACTCTCTTTGCATTGAAGTATCGAGTTCTTCCTTGCACAGTAAATCAAAATATACATTATGCTGCCAGCAACTATGATGATGCTTCCACATTCAATTCGCTTGGTCAGTTCTTATCTTGTACGCGAGGACGACAATGGTCTTCAAAAAGAAAACAAGGAGGAACGTATCATGCCACAAGGTTAGTCAATTAATTTTGATCTATTTTCAACAAAAATAATTGAATTTTTGTTTCTCAAACAGTATTTTACACTTTATCGTTAATGAATATAAAATTGATCCGAATAGTTTTATTTACGATTGGAGTTATGATACATCGGATAATAGTTCTCTTATCGTCAAGGTTTATATTGATTTGGGAAATTATCTATCAGGTAAAAACGAATTCACTTTCTTCGATAGGAAGGTTTATTTTCTGAAACCTCTTTTTACATTTGTCAATTCTTAATAAGAGTTTAATTGGTTACTCGTTTTGATAACTTCCAGTGGAAAACTCGGAGCTTTATGATTAAAAATATATTTCTATGAAAAAATAATTCCTAATGAGTATCTGACAAAAAAAGGTAAGGATTCTGCAATGGAAATACTACTGTCTATTAGAAGAAATAATTAGAATTTTCCTATGAAAATAAATTTTCAATGTTCCGTACAGATTAAAAGTATATCCATCTTTATGAACATCGCAGACGAAGAATGACAGGACAACGATTTTTTTTTAAATTTACATTCTTTTAATATTTTAGTGCAATTCTATGATGGTTATATAAGTCATACAGATGTAGACAATCCCAGTAATCTCGAACCAGATCAGGAGGAAAAGATCTTCCATTGCTTTTCTACTGTTAAGGTAAGCATTTGTTGTAAATCTGATATATTAGATTTATTTTCATAATCAAATTTAATTTGACATAAAGTTGATGAACGATTTTATAGATTAAAATAACCATGCTTATCTCTAACTAAATAAATATATGTTGTAATGTACCAATTTAACAAGTTATAAATTGACAGATTTTCTTCAAGTTTTTTGAAGTTCTATGAAAGGTATTAACCTTGTTTTGAAATTAAGTTTTTTTTTGAAACAGTCAGATTTTTTGAACTATCTTCAATTCAGTTGAAGTATATTTTAAGTGTGGATCTTCTGAACAAACTAATCAGTAATAAGTCATCGTCTAAAATTATTTCAAGCGGACCAAAATCTTAGTTGAAAATTGTTTTTCTATTTCGAGTTTTGTTATTTTCTAACGAATATTTCATCAATCAATATCCTATCTGAATTCCACTAGATAATTATCTTAGATATTTTTCAAATATATTTATTCGAGGAGAAAATTATTTTCATTTCTATGTATCAGTTTGCATGAAGTGTCTTTTAAATAATTCTGAAAATTCTCAAGAAATTTTTCTATGCAGCCAAAAATCAATCTTTAATGAAAATCTATTTGTTTTCTATTCAGATCTTCCATGTTCCGCAAACAGCAGATCGTGCGCGAACGCTTCTTGAACAATTGTCAAAATTCAAACTATTTCCAATTACTGTGGCTACCTTACAAATGGTTTGTCATGATGCTCAAAATGGTTTCTATACTTCATCAATTCATATGAAACAACCTCACATTACCGATCTTAAACTTCACTACGGCGAGGAATTTGAGATTGTTCATGAACAACTTCTCGAAACACTACAAGAAAAAGATTCTACTGGTATTACTTTACTTCATGGTCCTCCGGGTACCGGCAAAACTTACTATTTGCGCTATTTGATCAATGAAATCAAAGAGAAGAGTTTAATCTATGTTCCACCTGATCTTGTCAACGTAAGTCAATTGATGATCTATATTGATATTTAGTCTTTTCTCTCTAAACCTTCTTACCTGGTTTGCGAGAATTTATTGTTAGAATTTTTATCAGCAAGTTTCAGGTGATAATATTCAATTTTCTTTTTCTTTCTCAAATTTTTCTTTCGAATCAATCTGAGCTGAAAACTAAATTGATTAGGAAATTATAATGCCAGTATTCTTTTACGTCTATACTTTCATCAATGGAAATAAGCAACGGATTATCATTTTTTCTTAAATTTCTCAGAGAGTTCTAGATTGAAGATCTTTTGTTGTGAGTGAACCTCACTTCGTTGGTTTCCTAATTTAGATAAAGAGAAAAATGACATAGCCGAACATCTAGAGAAAATAAAACATTTAAGATGATAAGTCTACTTTCATAACTTCAAACGTAGTTTTTAGTATCTGTGACACTTTAGGTCTAAAGACATTCATTACGAGTCTATGAGAAACCTATTGCTCACAAAACCATGCTTTAATTCCTTTTCTCATAATTTTTACAACCGTCCTCAGGAAATTCAATCTCTAAACAGAGAAATTTGAATCCTCAGAAAATACTCATTCAGAAATCTCTGTTGAATGAAGTATAAAAATTATCATATATATGTATATATAGTATCATCTAATATTTTCAGAGTAAGCCTTTCAAAAACGATCAAACTAATATTTTGTTTTTTCGTTCTAGGAAATGACGAAGCCTGGTTTCTTACCGTTCCTCATGCAACATCCGAACTCAATTCTGATCGTCGAAGATGCCGAGAATATTATTCGTGATCGAATACAGGACAGCATTCTACCCAGCCAGGCTGTAGCTAATTTACTCAATCTTTCTGACGGTCTACTCGGTGATGTCATGCATCAACAAATTATTTGTACGTTCAACTGTGATGTCAAGGGCATTGATCCTGCTCTTCTTCGCGATGGACGACTAGTGGTCGAACACAAGTTTGATAAGCTGAGCGTAGAGAATGCTCGTCGTTTGTGCGTGGAGTTAGGTATGTCCGGTAATGGCGAGGATATTCATGAACCAATCTCTTTGGCCGAAATCTATGCACGAACGAGTGATGGATTGGCAAATTTTGCAAACGGCTTTGGAAATGGTCACACAACAATGAAGAATAAACGACCATTGAAGAAAAGAAATCAGAAAATTGATCCTTTTCTTGGTTTTTATTCTTAATTTTTTTTTCTTTGTTAATTTACAGGAAATATAAACGAATGAATAAAATATCTAATATTGCAATATTTTTAGTCATTTTTAATTGAATTTTTACGCGAGCAATGTGTTATTCAGAATCATTCAGATCAACATTTGTCATTTGAACTTCCAATAGCGAAGATACAAAAAAAATATATTTTTCACATGTAGTGTCTTGCTACGATTCAATGTTAGCCATCAATGCTCATTATTATTTTTTCAGGATCAAATCTGGTTTCGAAAAATGATCACGAGTCCATGTTTATTGGTAATGGAATAACATCATCTTTCATGAGAAAATTTCCAAACTTTATCCGATTTTTCAGTAAATTCTTTGTTAAAAAGTCTAAGAATTTTAGGAAAGATAAATCATAGTCAATGCAGCAAAAGTCGAAGTGTAGCCGACATCATAAAAATGCTCCTTTTATTTGATTTATACTTAAACTTTTTGTTAGACTTTAATAGAGTACTCGTGTATGTCAACTATACTTCGACTTTTGTTTTACTAAGTACCATTTATCTTTTCTGAAATCTTTAGAACTTTTGACAAAAAATTTTCTGAGAAATATACAATAAAAAATGGTAATGTTGCTGATTTTAACTAATGATCACTGTTGATTTAATGATTGATTAAAAACAAAATATATCTAACATTTTGCTTCATGATGAATTGATTATTTCATCTGTAGACGATTGCTATGGCCTTTTCATTTCAATACAACTGTTCAACATGATAAAAAAATTCGAGACCGTATACAAGTTGTAATTATGTGTTTTGAATTTCTCTATAATGATTGCTACTCTTGATGACACTCAGAATTTTGTTGTTGTTACTATATGATTTCACGATAAATTCTTTTATGAATATTGCTTTATGTTCAACTTTCTAAATAATTCATTTTCTACATGTGATACGTTCTCTAATTATTTTTCAACAAAAACGAATGCTGTGATGCTAAGCTTTTATATATACATATCAGAATATTTCCAAGAAAAAGATGATTTTTCTTTTACATTCGATGATAATTCTATGACATTTGAAATTCTATTAAAATCAACTTAAATTATTTTTCATTATTGTTTTTTGGAACACATAGACTTTGTTAATTTTTTGTCCGGTAAAAAGTGGTATTTATTCATCCTTTCGCAGTTTTTTCATATGAAATGCATTATTTTCATAATAGAATCACTCGCTTCTCCAGATGAAATGAAAAGTATTGCCACACATCATAATGTTACAGACTATTATGTTCGAGTGAGAATTTTTTTTCTTTTTTAGTTGATCCTCTTATTACATTTTTGTTGTGTTGCTTTAAATATATAGACATGGTTCAGATATCGTCCTTTCAAAGAAACTTCTATTTTTGTTCGTCAACGTTACTTCTCACATGTTGCAGCTCAAAACAAACAACGTCGTTCAAGCATTTCTCAGTCACCTAATTGAACTCTCGTTTAACAATGTATAAAGATTTTGTTCTCTAAGAAAAAAGTGGGGTGGATGGGTGTGGGTCTGAGTATGGATGTAGGCGGGTGTGGATCTTCTCTTCAACAACACCCACTCCACACACGCACACCCATTCTACACACCCACACTTACCCCACACACCTATGCTCTATCATATGAAGTGATGTTCATGGAACTTTGCTTGAATTTTTATGAACTTTTTCAAAAAATATTCCGTTACGAAATCACACTGCAGGAACAATATTTTACAAAAGAGAGAGCAGCGGTTTTCATATTATTCATTTTACGAAATCAGAATCAAATAACGCTTGAACATTTATGGGGACATTCTTCTTAGATTTTTTCGTAGGTCAGGGTTTGGAAATTCGACTTGACGATTGTGGGTGTGAGTGTATGTGCAAAACGAGAAGAACTGTATCCACAGCAATGCTTACACCCACATCCACACCCTAATGCACTTAGTGACCATGTTTTCACTTTTTACTTCACTAGTAGTCATCACCGTCATATTTCGAGAGAGATTTTGGTTTTACAGAAGAAAGATGTCGATTATCATCATATTTGGAGTGAGTTGTCTTTTTTGAAGAAACAGCTGGCCAATCATCATCATTGTCATCGTGAAATTTTGAATGAAATAGTGTTTTTATAGAAGAAGTAGGTTTATCATCATCATCATATTTCGAGCGAGTTAATGTTTTTGAAGACAATTTTGGCTTATCATCATCATCATCATCATCACCATATATTTTTGAACGAGTTAATGTTTTTGAAGACAAATTTGGCTTATCATCATCATCATCACTATGGAATCTTGAACGAACTGTTAATTTTGATGAACCTGTTGGACGACTGAGTTTACTTAATTTGTTTCCTTGACGAATTTCAGATGACACATCAACTGAAATTTTGTTTACATATGATGCAGAGTCTTGTTGAATCTTAATATTGGGTAGTTGACCAAGTTCTTCTGTTAGTTTTGATAATTTTGTTGTCAATCGGTCTAAATCAATTTCATTAAATTCATTTTCTTGACGAGTATGTTTCAATTGTTCAGTTAATTGAGATAATTTTTTTTCTATTTCAGCAAAATGTTTATTTTGATGCCCAATTAACGTTTGTCTACACTCTTCTGCTGTTTGTTTAATCTTCTTAATTGAATCTTCTTCCCATTTATCAACGTACTGTATCAAAAGAGGCTTTGTTACATTGTTTTTTTGGTGAGCAAGTTTTTGGTAAAACTGATCACGATCGTTTTCAATTTCCTCAAATTGTTTGCCAAGGTTTTGGCGATGTTCTGTTAAATCTTTCAAACAAAATCTTTTTGAGCATCCTTCACATGCATATACGATTTTTTCTTTGCCGCATACAAAACATTTTGCTCGATCACTTGGTGTTGCTGCTGTCATGTATTGAATATGTTGATGATGAGAAGGTATGTGTGTAGCAGAATGTGAAAGAAAAATGAAAAAAAGTGAATATATGATTAAAACACGTGGTCATGTGCAATCACAAAATTAGTCAATGTTGATAAACATCAGTAGGAAGCAAAAGAACGTAAAAAGCAAGTTGTGTTCTGTTACAGAGGCCCTCGCTGTAACGTAGATCAAACAGGAGTTAGAAATTTTCTTTTCTTTCTACCCAGGTGGAAGAAAACAATCCGTAAACGGCCTGAAACGGCATAAAAACGATGGCCGTTTTCTAGCAAAAAAAAAACTGCCCGTAAAACGAGCTGACGGATTACAGCGAAATAGGGTGAAAATTAATGCCGTTTTATGTCGTTTAATAGCCGTTTCAGACCGTTTCCGATGGTCTTTCAGACGACCGGAATGATCCTCCTGGGTCACCAATAACAACAAACCTTTTTATTATTTTTATTTTCCACTCTAGCCCACTCCAAAAAAACCCATTATAAACATATATATATATATATAGTCACATAGAGAAGACAAGAGAGAGATAAGTAAAAATACAAAGAGAAAAAAGAAGAGTGTTGAATATGTATCTTCAACTCCAGCCTGGACTATTTAATAATGAAAATGACGCCCGACATCTTCTTTTATTAAATATGCTCTTAAATTTAACGAAGAGAAGAAAAGACTGACGAGGGAAGGTCCTCAAGTGAGTCGTCGCTTTTAAGTCGGGACTATGTGCATTATGTAGACGCTAATGAGCTATCAATACCCTGCAAAGAGATCGGGCTGATAGCTTATTGTTGCCAAGATACTGTATTTTTACGATATTTTTAAGCAGTGCCGTGGTCCCCCCAGCAACATCAGAAAAACTGAGTTTGGAGTTTCGACTTGAAACTTTCTGTAGTGACAGGAGTCAATGAGAATAGTTTATTGTGAAAGTTTCAGATCTTCTGATTGCTCCTAGGCATGTACCGAGCTTTTTTTCGTTACTTTCAAGCACTTTTAGTTCAAAACCTTCAGCTCTTAAGTGAAAAGCTGAATCATGAGGCCTAACCTATCAAAAGATAGACCAAACATCGCTCTACAAAATGAGACATACCAAGCCCTGTGCAACAACGCCTTCAGTTTTTATAGGAATTTTACAAACAGACCCCGACCGAGTCTGACCGAGCCCGAGCCCCGAGCCTAGGCTCGGTCGGGCTCGGTTTGTAAAATTCCTATAAAAAACGAAGGCATTATTGCACAGAGCTTAGATATGTCTCATTTTGTAGAACGATGCTTGGTCTATCTTTTGATAGGTTAGACCTCATGATTCAATCTTTCATTTCAGAGCTCAAGATGTTAATATAAAAGTGTTCGAAAGTAATGAAAAAAAGCTCGGTACATGCCTAATTGCTCCTATTCTGAAATAAGAAATTCGGAATCTGCCAGTGTGTATGAGCGATGTACAAGTATGCTTTTACCATAACTGTATCTTAGGATAGGAACAGCCAAGAGATCTGAAACTTTCACAATAAACTATTCTCATTGAGTCCTGTCACTACACAAAGTTTCAAGTCGAAATTCCAAACTCAGTTTTTCTGATGTTGCTGAGGAGGACCACGGCACTGTGCTTAAAAATACCGTAAAAATGTTGTATCTCGGCAACAATAAGCTATCAGCTCAATCTCTTTGCAGGGTGTTGATAGCTCATTAGGGCCTACATAATGCACATAGTCCTGACTTAAAAGCGATGAATCAATTGGGGGCCTTCCCTCGTGAGAATGTATTGAAATTCTCATGGACGAAAGAAATGAAGAGGAGAAGAGAAGAAGAGAGAAAAAGAGGAGAAAAGAAAGAAATATATCGACCTTCGTATATAGGGTGGATAACGTATATCCGAATGATGACGCAAACACACACAAGTTGAAGAGAACAGATAAGAATAAAGATGTATGTTAGAGTGCTCTCTAACATGTTCTTAGAAGCAAAGGACGTGGGCGCATTTGGTTGTGTTTTGACCCCTTTTGATTTTTCAAAGTCTACTCTTATTCATTGAGAGTGTGGGCATGAATGTGGTGGTGTGGGCGGATGTACGTGTGCGTGTGATTGTTGGCTTGTTCCGAACGACAGCTACACCCACAACCGCACGATTGTTTGGAAAACAAAAGAATCTTGCTCTGGATATAGTGGAAAATCCGGTGCTTTCACGAAAAAAAGTCGCATAATTCAAGACGATAATCCAAATTCCTGATTTTTATAGAGAACATAGTATAATGTGAGGACTATCTATCGATGAAAAAAAGAAAAATTTTATCTCTTCTTTCTGTTTTCTAATTCGCGAAGACGATGAACCCGTGTTGGGTTTGATTATTCACGGAATCCTTTTTGGTGATAAGGCATTCTCTTTTCACTCTAACATACAGTGAAATCAAGAAGTATTGGCACACCCCCGTGTCTTTTCGTCTTTCTTGATTCGTCANCTCGTACATACCCTTCTATTTCATTTTTAATTTTGTTTTTTCATTTCGTCTTCACATATTCTGATTCGGTTATCTTAAGAGATATGTGCACGTCTTCTGCGATTGGAATGGAGAATTTTTCTGCCTTAGTTTTTTTTTGGAAAAGAGAATAATAAAGTTGGAGTAGGGGAGAGAACCCTAACAAGGTTATCGACGTAAAGTACGACAACGTTTGAATTATACTGCATAAAAAGGATTTAACATGACTTTTATTTTTTTACTGTATAAACTGATACAGTTGAGTATTGGGGACCATATGTTAAGGGTGTGGGTGTAGTTGTGGGAGTGAATGGGTGGGCGTGGCAACAGGAACAATGGTCGCATTCTACATGCACTTGTATCCGCACATCCTAACAACAAAACTTAAAAATAAAATCTTTTTTTTTCATTTCTACTCGCCGAGTTTTTTTTCTTGTTCTTCGAAGAAAGTAAACACTTATGTTGGTGTAATGATAAAAATGTTTCTTATTATTAAAAGTGTGACCCATGAATAAACTCATATTAAAAAGAAAAAATTCATTACAAACGGCGATCAAGGTTTTCGGTGAGGGAGAGGCTAGCCCACAGCACTTTTCATGTTGTTTCTGCAAAAACTTTTCTACGTCACGTAAAACCGTCTGTTAATTTTTGCCAGGTAGCGATGCTTCTGTAGATTTCTGCTCGATTTTAGTCCCTCTCTCTCCTAAAAATCATCGAAAATCATAATTGGGATGGACCAATTTTTATGTTACTTAATATTTGACCAATGAGTTAAATGAAATATTTAATCGAGCAGAAATAAAGTTGAGGAACAAAAGTTCTTTTATGAATTAGAGTAATATCTATCAGGGATTGCATAAATCTGACAATTTATATCGATACTGTATTTGTTTGCTTTGATATTCTACGACTTCTATATCAATTAATGTTTTTATAGTACTATATGCTAGGAAATCGATGGTTTTATTTAAAGGAATAGAATAATTGATCTAAGAGAGCAAAGATAGAACAAAGAACAATCATTGTGTTCATGACTATAAATGAAGAAAAGTTTCATTACTGGTTGTTCGGTGGAATTCCTTGAGGAAAACGAAAGTACCAAGTCGGATCCCATGTAGTTTTGATCTCTCTCAATCGATCCCAATGTTCACGATAGTACATTTGTTGCCAATTGTCCATATACGGATCGATATAGTTGATATAGCCTCCAACAATGCTTCTCGTTGGTGCTGCAGCATTCATCAGTCTCTGTAGCCAGCTTTCGGCTATATTGATGGCCGTAGAATCGTCTTCAGATGTATACCAGGCAAATCCGGGAGCAATATCAAAAGAAATATCTGGAAATGCCCATGCTGTATTTTTGTCCTTGTTGGTATCATGAAGATAAATAATTCCTATATACTGTAAAATTCGAAATGTGGCATTTGGTTGAGGCTCCAGAAGAACATCGAGCATTGTCTCTGTGATATTGATAGCCATAGCAGAAACGATATGTTGTCGTTCCTTAACTGGAAATGGATAGTTTGCCGTACCAGTCACAGCGATAACCTCAAATTGTGTAAAATTTTTCACCGTATAAATGTCCGGCTTCGGACCTTTGGATAACCAAGGTTGTAATATAGATTCAAGATCTGTATGCGGACCATTGAATGAACCGTAAATTAAGAGAAAGCTGTTTTCAGAACTAGTGAAGATGATTACATCAAACCCAATGCGAGTATCAAAGTTAGCAACTTCATCAACGAATATGAGCCAATTGCGAAGAACAGTTCGGAAATCGTTTCGATTCGACCAAGTGATACTCAAAAATGAGAGTTGACCAGCGGGCAAATTCGTTTGATTAATTCGATGAATCTTATGTGTCATTTCCAAGACGTAACCAAAATTTCCTCCACCACCACCGCGAAGTGCCCAATATAGATCAGGATTACTGGTGGATGACGCAGTAACAATGGTACCGTTATATGTGGCTACTTTAAAGCTGAGAGCATTATCGGATCCTAATCCATACGAGCGAGAAAATAAAGAATTATAACCACCCCCGGACGTATAACCGACTACACCAACGGTTGGACATAACCCACCAACAATCGCGTACTCTGAGCCATTCAAAGCTGCATAAACCTCAGCCCAAAGCACGCCGGCTTGCATGGTTATCGTTTCACTTTGCCAATCAATTTCTATCTTTTTTAGTAAGGCAGAATCGAGCACTACACCTTGGTGACTACAATAACCTCCATAACTATGTCGGCCACCCATGATACGAATAGGTATATTGAGTGAATAAAGCGTAGAAAGCGCTCGTGAAACATCATCATATGTCGCAGGTCGTATTATAAGACTGGGCCAAATTTGAATTGCCGTATTCCAAAGAGTGGCCGCCGTATGATATTCGGGATCGGTAACTCGCAGCATTTGCCCACCATGAGTTGTAATTATTGACTCCAAATCAGACATGGAACCAGTATTTATGCCAATAAAACCAAATATTGATAGAATTAGTGCACTACGAAGAAGTGCTAAGCCGAAGCATATAGACAAACTAGTCATTTTGTAATGTCAGCTGAAACTTGAATATAGAATGAGAAATATAGAGGAATTCATGAGATTGAAAAATTGTTTACTTCTAACTATCAGATTGCTAATCAAAAACTCTATCGAATGATGGAGTCGATTTATACTCTAAAGGACGGGGGTACTTTTATCAAACATGTTTAGCCATACAGTGTTTTCCATCAGTCAGTAGCAGAACCTAGGCAGAAAACGAAGAAAAATCTTTTGGTGATAAATTCAAGTCATTTCATCGAGACTCTAAGCCTCTTGGGTTCTTTTTACATTCATCATCTTCATGCTCAGCGTACATTCTTCTCATATAGTATTCACTAAGTGGAACTTTAACCGTATAAAAAAACTGAATTAATGCTGATTAGAAAGAGCGTACAATTTCTGCATGTTCCCATATGAGAGCCATAAGTTTTTTATCGCGTGTTCGGACACAACTCATATTATGAACTCTTCATCGCGGATGATTTTGTTGAAACATTTCTTCGATAAGATGCAAGCAACTCGATATATTTTTTTACATCTATTCAAAATTCCGTATTTATTTTGAATTACAATCAATTTTGACGATTGAAATCTCGAAACACTTTGATTAAGTATTGCATTTTCACGCTGAAAATAACTCACAAATTCATGAATTTTATATGAATTTCTATTCATTTTCAACCGCTATCGATTGCTATATAATTGAAAATAGACGTTCCTCTGCGTGAACCCAAATGACCCTGATTACTACTGGAATCACTACGAAACTCATTTACGACGAAGATCTCACAACAGGAATTATGTCTGAACATGTGACAAAAAAGACTATAGTTCTCACATAGGTACATGCAGAATTGAACTCTCTTTCTAACCAATATAGATTCTGTTTGTTTAGATAGGTAAAGTTCTACTTGGTAAATAGTATGCAAGAAAAATGTGCGATGAACAGGAAGATGATGAATGTAAAAAGTATCCAAGAAGCTTAAAGTCTTCGAATTTCTGTGCGCAACCAAATTGCAAAAAAATTGCAAAATCAAAATGAATGATCACGTCGAGTTGCTATTGCACTATAGTTTATTTGGTTCATACAGACTAGGCAGCGCAGTTTGCCGCCATCAGATACTATAAAATTAGTGTGTATAATGTAAAAACCAATTAGTATCCCTTGACACTGAACATTGCCAATTACTCTTGCTAATGAGAATGTTCAAACTTAATCAATCTTTTTCTGATGACCAAAAAACCAGTATGTACGATTTAGCAGTATAAATAAAGATGATCGTTGCAACCATTGCTATCGACTACAAGGATTTACCACGACGCACTAATTTTCATACGATTATCAAGTATCTCATTAAGTGAAATTTTTGAGTATGTAGATAAGGTATGTTACTCTTTCGTATTCGCGATATCATTGGTATGGCTGTTATCAGTCATTCAACAAAACGCTATTACATCTTGAACTGAATTCATAAAATGTGAAAAAAAATTAAAACATTCGTTTGTCATTCATACACAGAACTTCGACATATTGACTATATAAATAAGAAGAAAAGATGCGAAGCGACTTTGTCGAAGAACAAAGCCTAGTGTCCTTTTCACAGCACAATAGTTGTATCTTAGTCTGTTCTTAATTATGCCGATTTGGTCACAAACAATATATTCGTAGAGAAAAGTCAAATCAAAGATTGAAAAAGAGTTTTCAAAATTAATATGGAAGAGCACTCATATGGCAAAGAGAAGATGTCTCTTTTCGTCTAATGGCTAGGAAAACTGTCTGAAAAGAATAAGGTAAATGGTTCGATTCCTATGAAAGGGTCGATTGTTTCTTTGTTCTGTTATACTTCATCTCGCTCCTATCTTGGTCCATTTCCATCGTTACAATCAGCTGAGATTGAGAAAAGATACATACGACTAACTGAATGAATACTCATCTATTCACTGTGAGCTACTTATGTTGTTCGATTGTCAACCAGTACGGAATGTTAACATTCATTTTCTCTATAATATAAGCCACTCGATTGCAAAACAAAAGAAAAAAATACACTGGTTGAAATCAAAAGAAAATAGATAATAATCATTGTTCTTACATTCGTAAACAATAAATGGATGAGTAAATTATCATTCAGTTATCATTAAAAAATTTTCTAGGGAGGAGACATCTTCGAATAATTCAGAAAAAGAAGCGTACATATGATATTCTAATAATATAAGAACGGATTGATGGTATCCGATCTTAGAAGCTCACGATGAAAATCATGTTTTCGCGTTTAAATTCTCACAAACCGATACATACCGAAGCTTCGATATGAATTTACCAACTCTGCAGATGTTCGCTTCAAAACCGACTGATAAAAAACACTTGTGCATATAATTTAAAAAAGACCTTTCAATCCCATGACAAGAGAAAGATGCAAGAGATTATTTCTCTGTTCGTTTGATATTATCAAATGGTTTATCGCGTTTTTTGTTTCATTTGTGTAAAGATTAATATTGCAGTGATCGAGGACAATAATCTTCTTTCTTTAATACGTTATTCAGTTGAATATCATGATAGGGAATCCTGTTTTCTTCTATATTTAAATACTAACATTTTTGTGCATCTTTTTTTTCTGACTAACATTTAGTTTATAAGAACTCTAAGTTAATGAAAATCATTTTAGGTTTTAGGTTTATAGTGGTAATAGAATACCATGATATTTTGCACTATTCATAAACCGTCTTTTAATCAGACTTTGTTCATCATTTAAAACTAAACATCCATCTGAGTTTGATATAATAACTTCATGTTGATTTGCCCCATAGTAAATATCAAGCATAAAAACGAGAATAATCTAGATTATTGTTAAAGTAATATGGACCGCATTATTTTCAGTTAATTTCGATAGTCTTCCCAGCAATCGATTGAGTTGTTTCCATTCATCAAGCGTCAATTGCAAGCATGAGTTAGGATGATCAGAATAAAGAAATATGGCTGCATAAGGTTTAAATGATTCTTGTTTAGTTCCCATGGGAAAAAGGATTGAGAAAGCAACAATTAAGAACTCCTTTTCGAAAAAATAAAGCAACGCTTTCTCACTAGGAGTGTTATAGTTTGTTCATAAATAAGTTGTTCCTATAGCTGAAAAATGTACAGGTCGAGAGTACGTCAAAACGTTTAAAGAAGGATGCATTCATACAGTTTCAGAACACTTTTCTTTCGTCTAGCATGAACGCATTCATAATCGAATGAAATTCACTTCTTCCTATGGGCTGTAATGCATGCAACAAAAACACAATGCCAATTGCGAGGTTTGCATGTTCTGATATGAAAATATGTGCTTTCCAATTGTATCATACAAAAAGATGACACCTGATCACTTAAAACATTTATCTTACAAAAGACTCGTCTTCAATGCTTCTATTTCTTTCTTTATGAAGTTCACCTGTATTTTTAAAATAGTGAGAGTGAGTTATTAAAATAAGTTTTGTGATTCCACCAATTCTCTCTGATTACTGAACATAACAACCGAGATTGCAGGCGTTGAACGATGCTAATTGCAAAGCTTGGATTGTTCTACAACACTCTAGAATTTTTCAAAGTCGTCGGTGAAGTTTGAGTGGCTGGAATACTTTTGTGAACATTTTAAATGGTGCAGTTTTTGACTTTTTGTGCAGATCAAAATTTGTATTCAAGATATCAACAACGATTGATAGTGATCTATTGAGGTGCTGCAGTCGTCATTTGATCAACATAAAAAGCATGAATTGATCAAGTTTTAGTTTTGAAACATAATTAATATCAATGTTTTTGAGTCGATCGAGATACATCACATGCTGCAGGAAAAATCACAATTCAACAAACTACTGTAGGAAATATTCCTGGCGCAAATCAAAACTTATCTTTCTCCTATAGGAGAATTTTAAATATTTCTAGAGGAAAAACTAGAAGTTCGGTTTGTCCTAGGAAAATTGCTTTTCCTAAATTTCAATGCCTCATGCTACAGATATTTCCAACAGCCTGACTTGTCCTTTAATTTAATGCTTAAAACAAATAAAAATAACAACAATGAATAAATGCAAAGCGAAGTGCGAAAACGAAAAATAAACAGCGGCAGTTCAAACAAAAATAGGCATCCGTAAAAAAAAAGGAGAAATGTTTTTCAAAATGCAGTAATAAGACAGATCATCGCTCTAGTGATCAATTACTTTGGAAGACAACTAAACAGCTATTTTTTATCTTTGCTATCAATTTTAAATAAAAAAAGATCAATAAATCAGTTTCATCAAAAGTATCAATTTAATAAAAAAAACTGGCTTATTTCCAAAGGCTTGATTTAAAGTATTTTCTGACAAGATCTGTGGGTGGAATACACTTGTTGGAAGAAGATTTTTTGTACTTTTCGAGGATAAAGCATATCATAACAATAAGGGAAAAGCTATGTTTTTGATTCTTCCGATTATTTTGGGTGCGGGTGTAGGTGTAGGAGTAGGATTGGGTATATGACTGATCTGAACTTATATCCACACTCAAAACACTCGCACCCACACTTTACCTTTTGCTTTTATGTACAATCGAAATCATCTGACTCATGAATATAGCTCAAAGTTTGTTCTTATTAATCAACGAATATATTAAACCATGGTTAATACATTATACAGGTTGCCAAATATCTTTCATGTTAGAATTGATTATAGATTCTAAGAGTAGCTAAGATGGTAATCCAACTGTGCTCTTAGTTCAAGGACAAATGTTTGAAAATATATAATATTTAAAAGAAACCTTAGAAATAGACTGTAAATGTACACAAACTGTTTGGAATTATTCATGAAACTAAATAATCTGTACATTAGAGGGTGTGGGGTGTGGATGTGGGTGTGGGTGCGAGTAGGTGCGGATGAGTGTGACTTTAGGTGTGAGTGTCAGTTAAATCCACATTTGTGCCCACACTCAGTCCCACATTCACATGCACACGCAAACTTACGCCTACACCCACACCCACACCACCTCAAACCCACACCCACACCCACACCACCTCAAACCCACACCCACACCCACACCACCTCAAACCCACACCCACACCCACACCACCTCAAACCCACACCCACACCCACACCACCTCAAACCCACACCCACACCCACACCACCTCAAACCCACACCCACACCCACACCACCTCAAACCCACACCCACACCCACACCACCTCAAANCAAAAAAATATACCTCTAAGTCTTCAGAGATTTATCTTCCAAGGAAAAGAACTTAAGGATGAAGCTACATTGGCTGAATGTCGCATTAATGATAACAGTACATTTCATCTTGTGTTAAAATTAAGAGGCGGTAAACTTGTCATTCGCCTTCGATCTACAAGTGATCAATCAATTTCAAATGTTAACGTTCATTTACATATTAATCATGCTTGGAACTTATCATGCATCTATCCAGAACCATCAATTACTGATAAAGTTTCATTTATTGAATGGAATAATATTGAAGTATATCCCGATGGTCATTTAATGATGAATCAACACTACAAACAAAGTTTAAGTGAGTCTTTTGAACATATGATGTATTCATAAAATCATACATATCATTTTAGATTCTCAATCTTATCATTATCCTTTCATTGACGATGAATTAGAATATAAAATGCTCTTTTGGGAAGCATTAACAATTGATACTTCAATGTTCAATATTGATCATGGTCTATGTGTAACTCGTACTGACTTTCCACGAGTACTCAATTACCTCTTGAAAAAGATGTCATTTTCATCAGAAGATCGTGATGATATGATTACGTATATTTTGCCACACCTTGATGAAATTGATCCAAATCATATTCAAAAACATGTTGTTTTTCGTTTTCTTTCTCCGAATGAATATTCTAATTTAGCTGCACTACATGTTCGACCAGAACCCGATCAAATCATTCGAGCATTTCTTCTCTATATATTCAATAATGATGAACAAACAACAATATCAACAATAGAAAACCTTGATAATGAAGTGAAGGAAATCCTTCATACAAATTATACTCCTCGGTGAAATGGCCTTATTGTTCCTGAATGGGGTTCCATGTTTATTCAATAAGAAAATGTAACACTAATTTTTGGGGTGTCGGTGTTGATAGTGGTGTAAATAGAACAGTGTGAGTCACATCCACATACTTGTGCCAGAATCGTCCTCGCTAGTAATTGTCTCAATAGGAGGATAGAGGAGATGATTTTTCACCGTAAAATGAACAGAATTATCTCTGTCTAGACTCAAAAAACAGATAGGAGTTTCGATCAAAATTGTATAATAGTTGAGAAATACCGTTAGCATTTGTCCCATTTGATGGATTTGAGACTTCCATACACCATAGACTTTGGTCATCACTCGATGAACAGTGTTTTTTGTGTTTATCACAAATATCACACATAGAAATGCACTGTATTTCATTAAAGCAACGATAAATTTTACTCATCTTTGATCCCAAAGTTGGTCCACAACGATCACGTTCGTCATGAACGTCTACACAATCAATATGACCATCATTGATTCGTGAGAGTGGTAAACAAGTCAAATTGTGGCTAAGTGGTAATATACAAGAATGACCATCTGAACGACATGGATTATAGGAAAAATTAGCTTCATCGGCTACATTGCGACAATTTCAAATATTATCACATCGCGTATATGCATTGTTACAAGGCCATTGTTCACAGCCCATTTCATCTGTGTAGTTAAGACTATCGATTCTTTCATGATCGACAAAACTATCACAGAGTAATATGAATGAGAAACGAAAACACTTTCAATTCGCATCAACTACCTGCTTGCCCATATCTTCTCCATCGGTACACATAGGTGATTCGCCATTAGTTATAGTCATAGGAATGCAGTTGTGTTCCGAAATGCATCGAAGACGATAGTCGGCATCAGGCAAGAATTTATACATAAATGATATCATCAAAATGATGTAAGAAGCGGTCACAAAGGTGAGTCAATTTTGTGTTTCTCTACAGTACAGTTCTTCAAAGTGAAAAAACATGCATTTTTTTCTGCAGTTTTAGACTTTGGCGCTTTTATCACATTTTGCAAAATATTCGACATCAGACTCTCGAACGAATTAGAACTATAGCAAATGAAACATAGGTTTATCTTGTTGGCAGACATAAAGAGGTAACGTAAGATTGAAGATATGCGAGACCGAGATCAAGAGCGATCTCACAAACTTTGATTCCATACAAACGGTCATTTTTAAAAGAAAAAACAATCAATTTCTGATTCTAAAAAAATCGATACCTTATCTGTAATCGAATCGAACAGTAATTTAATGAATTTTTTGCAATTTACACTTGAATATTTTTGAAATCTACTTATTATTTTAAGTGACCAACAAATGAAACTTTTAAAACAAAATTTTTGAAAGTGGGCAGTGCAAGCAAAAATCTTGAGTTTATTTATCTCTAGATAAGATTTTTTCTCGTCACTTCTTTTGTTTATACATCTTTGTGAAGGCATCGCATAATGAAACCATATATTTACTGTCAAAATCCACATATTTTAACGATAAAATAACTGTCTTAGAAAAGATCAAATCATCAGTTGATTCAAACACAAGTCATCAAAGTTGTTAAACTAGTAAGCATCATCATTCAAGTAAAATTACAAACAACTTCTTTTGATTGACAAAAACTAAAGTCTATTCTTTATTTTTGATTCAGTCCACAATGGCAGCTACATTTTCAATTTTTTTTATCATGAAACTTGAGAAAGAACTTAAAACAATGTAGTCCCAGCATTTACTCCATAAAATTTTAAAATAAGTGAAATTATGCTGTAGTTTTCAGGGTCCAATCCAGGATAAAAAGATCGATGCATCATATCGTTATTTTCAAACATGTATGAACAAGCCTTTTGTGAAACGAAAACTTTTCTGATTATGCTGAAGAACCACTTGAAAAGAAAAATGTATTCTAAGAAGTTTTCCTTTAAAAACTTCTAGTTAGTTGTTCAAAAATCAGTTCTGATGAACCAGGACTAGTCCAACAGGTTAGAAGAACGCTACCCATCGGATATAGGAAAAAGTTTCGATTTCGCCCAGCGAAGTTAGAAAAAAGGGTTTCTTCTCTAAGTTTTTATGAGAACCGCCATGGTGTGTTGTGTCTTCAATTCGATGACCTTCAAAAGTCGACGTTTCATTCTAACTCTGTTTTAGAAACATTTTTCTACACAAGATAGAAATGAATGTTCATGTTTTGCGTTTCTGAATCATAGACGGAATTATATCTCAGCATATGAAATGAGATATTCAAAGGCAAAGTTTACAAGTATTTGGTCAATAAAAAAAAACCTTATTACTTGATCTAATATTTTCCAGAGTGACTATTGTCTTTCTCGATGTATAGTTAGCCTAATACTGATGCTGCAGTTGACTTCCAATGAGAACACTAATTATATTGGGGAACAGAGAGATAAAAACAGGCCAAATATGATAAGATCATTCTCGACAAGCTCGTAACTATTTGTGATTTGTTCGTCATCTCCTTGAAAACAATCGGAAAAACCATCAAGAAGTCTATTCAAGGCAATACATTTCGACGAATTTGCACATTGATATGGTTTTGACTTTGGACACTCAACAAAACTAGTCTTTGTGTTCGAATAGGAATATGAGATATTCGACGTCATTTTTATTTTTCAATGGTGCACTTATGTTCAATTTAGAGAGACGTCGACAAGTTAAGCCATCTATGATTACAGTAGCCGGAGGCCATTGGCAGAGTTCTTGATCGTAACATACATAATGACATAAAAGACTATGAAATCAATATTCATTTGGTAGACTATTCGCATAGGCAAAGCGAACATGACCTAGCACTTATCGGGAAAGCAGGAAAGAAAACAATTGTTGGGCAGTTTTCTCGAAATAGTTTTTCATTTTCAAGCTGCTCTGTACATTTGACTCGATTGAAGAGACTTGTCCGAGCAAAAAATGTGAAACAAATCAAATTTATTCAACAATTAAACGATAAATTAGGATTTCCATTTCGAGATAATTTCACTTCCAATAATTAAGCGTCACGACGAGTGTCGCATCTCTGCATACGACATCGGTCATCACCACACGATAGCATACATTCATTTCAAAATGTTGTCTCTTCACAGAAGAATATCGGATTCTTGCAGCAGTCCATTTTATCCAACTTGCTAAGTTCGTTCAAGTCATACTTTTCATTCGAATGATCGAGGCAGTCTGGACTCGAGGGATTTTCATTGAAAAATTCTTTCAGAATGCAAAATTCATTGCTACAACGAAACTCTTCTTCTTTACATTCATTTAAGTCTAAGTTCTGACCACCAATTTCGTCTCGACCATCATTCAAACAGTCAATCTTGTCATCGCATATATCATGCCAATCGAGACAAGATGCTGATAGACCTCGATTACATTCTATGAATGTATAACATGTTTTGTCAGTAAATGAGTTAGCGATTTGTAGTTTAATAGTAGGGTGTGGGTGTGAGTGTGAATGATAGTAATAACACCTACACCTTCGTCTGATCTCGCTTTTTGTTTTAATATTACATTCACAAAAGGCTTCAGACAATTTTCAATATACTACTTCTAACCTACTGTCACGCCTTTGTCTACACTCAGTGTCATTTGATTTAAAGCATATATAAAACAAAGTTTGTGTTCAAATCTGTCTCCATGAACAATAATCTTTGACGATACATCCTCGATAAACCCAGCATAAGTTTTTAGAGAAAATTGAACTTGATATAAATAATCATGGCAACTATCCTCAACATTTAATAAAATTAAATTAAAAATATCTCCTTATCTTTATATTTTTATTTAACAATCTCGGAACTTTTGGTCAGACCTAGGTAAACTTCTTAAAATATTTTATGGTTTTAAAGGCGTTCATTCTCTCTATTCTTTCATCGGAGAGAGCTAATATATTGAGTATTAATGAGCTATACTCTTCTTCGATTTCTATATCATTGGGATCTGTTTGGTGTATTTCAGGCGCTCTAAATTATTTTTCATATTAGCGATAAAGCTCTTCAACTACTTTACTTTTTTCCCAAAATGGTTTCTTTGCCATTGATCAGTTATGAAAATGGTAGACCGTCGGGTTTATATAGATGAAAGACAGATGAGACTAAAAGGCTTTCCAGATCTATCTTATCGTACTTGAATTGTTGACAAAACCAATTTTTACTTCGCGTCTCATCACTTTTAACAGAACATGAGTTTCT